TTTGGAACAGGCACACATAAGACTTTAACATGGGCAGGACAGATGCATAGAACTCCAAGAGGAGTTTGGTGATGACCCACTTGTAGATTATCTGTGTGTATATGCGTTTCTTCCTAGCCTTAATTGCCATCTTCTGTGAGATTGTTCTTTCCCAGTTTTCTCAGAATTTCCTTGATTCTTGTCTTTGCTTCTGGTGTTAAGTTGTACTTCCGGAAGAGCTCTAGCTGCTTTGCCTTGAAAAGTAGTATGTCTATGGGCTACTATATAAATAATGTTTATTATTTAAGTTATTATACTTAGCATACCTGTTTTGCACATGACACATTTGATCCCATGCTTTTCCCAGGCTGAAGTAGGCTAACCCTTTTTCAATGGCTTTGGCAATTTTTCTTCCGGCACCAATGCCGGTGATAGAGGGCCACGCACACAGCTTGTCGGCATTCTTTAGCCAATTAACTGAAACCACCTCGACCTCCGATGTGTCTTGGAATTCCACCACGGCATACATGGTTGGCGCGTGGTGGTGACAAGTGCTACTCATTATAAAGGAAATTATGCTGTACATGTATATGTGCATTCTAAACGGAGCAGTGCACTGCAAGTAATTTTCTGTCTGGATACACGATGGAAAATAATAGGAAAAGTATTTAGATTCAGAAACTGGGAGATGTGATTGGGGTTTGTTATGGGTATCATTGACAGAGGTTTGCAATAATTGAGTTCAGCTGCTTACATGTACATGTATACCTAGGTATTGATGGAATGAGTTTCTGGTATAGCAACAAAGGAAACACCACAAGGAGAAGGGAGGAGAACATATTTTCTGCTATTTCTGAGGCTGTGGCTACAAGAAACTCTTCTCGCGAGGAAGATACACAATAAATTCCAAGTTCACTTGAATCCAAAGGATACGAATAATAACTGTCAACATCCCAGAACCTCTGAAACACAACAATGGTGTCATCAATCTTTTCATCACTAAGAAGACTGCATGTACACCAACACATCATTGTCCTGGATTTGCACACAGTTGTTACTCTGTGATTATGTCACCAGAAATCATTTCGACTGCAGCTCTCTGTATTGAATAGCATGGCGGTAGCGTGCAGCTGGGAGTGGGCCCTCGTGGTGTTTTTCCTCAGGCTTAGTTTCAGAATAATTTGCTGTTTAAACCCCTGTTTTTCAGAGAGTCTGCAAATTACCTGATGCAAAGGATATCGCAATTCACGTACCCTTTTCTTCAGCTTATGAATGAAGTTTTCAAATGGAAAATGTGAAATGCTGTCAAGTGGTCCGTGTTGCCTAACTTATGCTGCCAAATGAGTTAATCCATGTATGTTGTACACTACATGTTCAGGACCATATAAATCTGCCAAATGATTGACAAAACAAACCAGTAACTCATGTGCATAGTCACACAACACTTTGCAGAGAGTTGGACTGACCAAGACTGTAATTGCAACATGAAGCAACAGGAAGTTTTTGTAGAAAGCATCTTCTAAATGGCCTCGGAATACCACTGGGCCGGCGAACAAAAGCAGCTGTCAAAATTCTGTTGCCTTCCATCTATCCACCTCAGTTAATGACCTCGGTTTTCTAGCAAATTCAGAGGGGATGAATCCCTGCAAACAAATCAATGCATCTGTAATCCTAGAAACTACTCCATTGCCTATTTTACATGTTTTAGAGCCCGTCATCCAGAAGCACACCAACCACCTCATTACACCGAGGCAGACAAGGTGCATATAGTCCAAAGGGAACTGAGACACAAACCCTATATTTAGCCCTGCCAAGGGGGGTGGTCCTAGATGATAATCATAGTCAGACATTTCAGCAAATTGTGTGTCACTTCGAAGCTGAGCATCATTTTCAGGGAAGGTCATTTTATTCGAAATGTGTTTGGCTATCTTTATTAAATGTACTAGTAAATTTTCATCATCACTTAATTAAAGCACACAGTATTATGTCCAGGCATATAATGTTCATAAATTTATGTCCTCCATGAGCTTAAAATAATCAAGCTGCTTGTAAACTGAAATATGACCTCCTGCGACTGTTGATAGAGGTGTTAATTGTTAACTGAAAGGGCAGTTAAGTGAAACCAGGGATGTGTGTGTTGGTGGTTATAATCAACATTTGGTTTGGTTATGCCTGTTTGGGGAATCTTGGTACAAAATTGTTGCATACAATTCTTGCCTAATGATTGATTGTCAAACACAGTCAGTTACAACAACCTGACCAATTCTTAGCTGTGACTTCTATTATGCATCCCAGATGTCAGCTCCAGTGGAAGCAGGCAACCTTGGGTACCCACAATTAACACAGCCTGAGTGGAAAGGTTAGCTGTGCAGGTATCCATTTGCTCATCAGATGCTCTGGAAACTGAAGTTTTCCCTCTCTGTTGCGTCACTCAGCAAAACTTGAATTTTGGGTCTGGTTCATGGACAGCCTTGTTGAGAAATTGGCTGTATAACATATTGCACCCTTATGGATTGTTGCCAGCAGTAAGAATAGTGTTTGCTGTTATTTTAAACGTAGGTCATCCACAACTTGGTCAAATAATAATTACAAGGTACTTTGTGTACAGTCATTCCATGTGATCAATTCCATTGTCAACAATTTTTGACAAAGTATTATGTAATAATTACATTTTAATTCGTATTTTGTACGGTAAAATATCAAAATCCTCACTCAGGATGTGACAATATGCATCATCAGCAACATTTATATATATGTTTTTCAATGTGTTTGCAAATGTTCAACTGGTTTGGACAGCATTTTTAAAGTGAATGTTGTCAGTATGGTGGAAATAAATTGCTCATAGCTGATCCCAAGTGTTTGATGTGTCTACTTCATGGAGTCAGAAACAGAATATTGTATAAAGACCAGAAATATCTAAAAAATCCCACTATAACCAAAAATTGTACTGCACTGCGAAAGAGTGACACAAGATGGGAAACCTTGCAGAAATTCTGAAATCATGAATCTGTATAGTACATTGCATATGTACTCTTCATGTTGATCGCCAAAATGAATGCCTGAAATTGTAATGGCAACTGAAGATGTGAAATGTGAGGCTGTACTTACAGAGACTGAACCAACACTGTGACGTGGCAACACTAACAAAATTTCAAGAGGTGTGACACTGTTTGGTATGACAGTGTATACATAGTATCCAAATGAGAGCAGTGCTCTAAAGTGTACACAAATCACTGTCCGAGGGCAACCACAACCATACTTGATGCTGATGGGTTTTAAGCCATGCCCCATTATAAGAACGAGTGAGCATAAATCAGAGTACAAGTAGCAGGAGCTACAGCAGAGTAGGTGAAAAGCTCAAGGAAAGTGAACCTGGCTCTCTCAAAAATGTTTTTTGGAGGTCCAACAGGTACACACTGTGAGGTTATCCCAGACTACCTGACAGCTAGTGACTCTGAATTCTGCTTTGCCATCATTGTTGCAAGAGCAGAATATTCTCTATGAACTTGCAGTATCTCCCTTGAGACCTGTGAACTTTCTGTCTCATCAAGTAAACAGCAACCCCAAAACTGTTCACTACAACTTTTGTGAATGTGTAGTTAATATTCATGACCATTGAGTATAAACTCACACAACAAAACTGAATTTATAATGGAATACTGAAAAACTAAGAGTGTTCTTTTAAGTGTAGAATTTCTGTAGTTAATACAAACATTCAGTTCAATTCATATTCAGAGAACAGCAACTCAAAAACAGTGTTTAGGGAAGTTGAAGTGATCCTTCAGTTGTTGAATTGCTTTATTACTTTAATGTTGAATTAAAATGCTCAAACTCTGAAAGAATTCTTTTCCTGGTTTGCGGTGTGTAATAAAACACTTATGAACCGGCAAAGTTTGGTCAGTAGTGCTCGCCCATGCTTCCTCAAGCCTGAGAGTGGGTCCTATATCCCCCCCCCCCAAATAGGACCCTCTTCTGGTCACTCTCAGTACCTCGGGGTGCACAGATGTGGGACACTGATGACCTGAGTGCCAGTCCATACCACCCCCAAACCATGTTATATTTATAGCAACCCACAGAATGGGACGTTGAACTAAAGCAATCTGTCAATTTTCAAACCAGGTCACACTTGTACATTACTCATTATTGTGGAGCTAAAGGCTTCACCATATAACGGGACACATCGATACTTTGTGCATGGAGGAAGGACACAGAAGGAGTTTGAACTGCCCAGGCTATAACATCTGACCAATCACTGCTTTCTGGCATGCCCGGCATGTCAATAGCCAGAGCGCAGCGACTGTTTGCTACACACCACCTGTTTCACAACTGTAAGCTCCTTTTGTACTGCATGAGCATTGCCACAATTTTTCGCTGGTAATCTGCATCCTTAAAAGGTTGTGTACTGTAGTATAGGAAGTTGAATATTTCATGCTATCATTGGTGCTTGGTATGATCCGACATCAAATTTAGTGCTTGCACAGTTGCTTTTATTAGGCTGTGTACCCAAAATTGCATGTTATGATCATATTGCATGCTGTGATATTAAGGTTGCTTTTGCGATATGATGTTACACTTTTATATAAATAAATTAGGCATCAGAATGCCTTTAAAATGGTCAAATGACAACTGAAAAATGAGACACAAGCATTTACAACGACTGCGTTAAAAAGCACATCGCAAAGGCTCTTTAATATTCAACTCATCAAAGACTGATATAATAAATTCCCAACTTTGTTTTCAAGCAAAATAAAAACTTAGTGATCAGTGAGACAACATTTAGGGCCTATTCATTCTTCTGGTGAAGCAAATTTGATGTCGTGAAATATTTGCAGCGATATTTGTTCGAGTTGAAATGTGTTTAACTTTTGCAAATATACAGCACAAATATGTAATCTGATTAAAGGTCTGAGTTTGTTTTCATGCGAGGAGCCTGGTTCCAAAAAAGAGCAAACTTTTTTTTCAAAAATGCAAATGGTGTCTACTCACAGAGCTATACATGTATACAAAAACTAGAGCGCTGATTCGTGTACAAAGTGATGCCTGCTGGGCGCATCCATGGTTGTGTACAAACCTATGGAAACTTGAAATTTTGTATGGCTTGTGTACGGCTTTTTACATACGTGCGTCTGTATTCTAAAACGACATGTCACCAAAGATGATAAGCAAAAACTAACACACAATCAGTAAATGAGCGTTTCATTTTGCTCTGCATAAATAATGGAAACGCATGCATGTATACACCTCAGATAATTTTGCCATGACTTTTTAAATCGGATTTTAGCAGTACACCATGCGCGTGGCATTTGGAGTCCATAATTCAATATTCATTCTGTCTGATTTCCAATATTCCACAAGCACGCACATGGATTCAAAATGTCTGCGCTCCAGTAATGTTTCTATAGCTCTGTGTCTACTCAACAAGTGACCAGTGCATGTGGCCTATTTAATGCTGAGATAAATGTTTTGATCAGCCCCCTCTAGAATGTTGAATGTTACAGCTGATGCAATGTATTTGCTGGGTCACAAGCTTGTAAATGGCACAAGCTCATATTGCGTTTTATCAAATCGACTGCAGGTGAAATGTATTGTTCCACAGGCTGGGAAGAATGTTGGACAGCCTGGGTGGAGCCTTGCTCGTGGTGCATTCAACCTTCTACAGCCTGTAATGCCTCTCTTGACTTGAATATATGCAGGGCATTATCAGCACCTCCGCACAGCAGCAACTGTCAAGAAACAGCAGATAAAAGCATTGTTCAGAGATTGCTGAAAAATTTGGCAGAAGGGACATGCTTTCTTACATGGATTCCAACAAAATATCCCATCTAGGGCTTTCACAGCTTAAGTGTCTTCTGCTCAACTGACTGTCTGGTAAGATTGTCTCACCTCTGATTTTGACCAATCCACTGCCAGTATTTTATCTTCACATCCAGACATGTTGTACAGAGGCGCCCGTGGACTGTAAAATCAAGGGAAGCAATACATTAAGCACATCACAGCGGATGAGGTAAAAACGCAGGGATTTTTTGTGCTCTGTTCATGCATGGTCTTTCAAATGCATCTCAGCAAATGCAGTTGCCAGTGATATCTACAGGTATACTTGTCCCCATGCATGAGTGAATCCCACTGTGTTTGTACCAGTGTTGTAGTCGAGACTACTGGTACTTAAGACCTTCACAAGACCAGCACATTACCAGCACAAGACCTCCAGTCTGAATTTAAGTCACAAGCTATTCAACTGAACTGCAATAACAGCATTCCTTTGTCATTGTTTATCTCGTTACTTGTGACTGGTCTTATGCATGGTCTCAACTACGACACAGATTTGTACACATACCAAGGCTGTAACTGGTATGTGGAGGTTGAGCATGTGTGCTGCCCTCAAGTGGCTGTGTGCCACAGCTGGGTGTTGTAGTAAATATCGTCTTGGAGTTTCAAAAAGCAATGATTTGGTAAGAAATCTGGAACAAATTTTCAACAGATTACCACCAGGTCAGTATTTGAAAGTCCAAATTTGTAAAGGACTATGGTCACTGGTATTTGTTGGGATATAATACCATCCACAGGTTGTCATGACACTGCATGTCTTAAACATCACATTGAGTAGACTTTCAATAAATCAGTTTAATGATCCTATTGCATAGCAATGCTAACATTACTTTAGCATTATGGTCCAGCATATGTGTACTGTACTCTCCAAATTACTATGGAATGGTTGAATATGCCTCAATACAGTGCCTCAATAAGTGCATACAAATATTACACATGCTAGGCAGTATCTATTGCTGTTAAGCTGCATTGCTCAAGCTGTGGATAACACACCTTCTAGTGTCCCATAATTTTAAAGTCTTGTCGTAAGAGCCGGATATGAGGAGATTCTCATTGTCTGGTGACCAATCCACAGATGAAACCCAGCCATGGTGATGAGTCAAGGAAGACTTCACTAATACACCATCTGTAAAGTTAGAATATACCCATCCGCTGAGTATAATGTACGGCACGTGTAAATGACCATCTTGCCAGTTGCTGTTATTATTTACTCAAATTAAGAGGAGAGACAGAGGAACAACACCTGTCATATGTTGGAGTTTTAATTAAAGGACAACATACATGAAGTATACATTAACAAAAAGATGCTCGTTTCTGTTGTACACAAGTCCTTGTTCAATATTATTTCTTACTTGTGTGTGCCATCACTGACAACAGTCTTCCAATGACAAACCAACACATCAAGGATTTTACAAAAACAGACATGGCAGAGGGAAGTCACATTTCTGGAGGCATTTATCAGTTGCAATCCAGAATAAAACACGAACACCAAACATGGTAACAAATACACTGAGTGACAGAATTATTTCAAAGGAGCTTAGTCCCACAATTAACAGTGAACCAAGTTTGCTCTTCCGCAAAAAAATTCCTCAGTTACTTCATGAACAACTGCAAATGTGAGATGGCACCTTTAAAGCAGAAAGATTTCCTCATCTCTAACCTTTCTGCCTGGGGTCCCACAGTCGTATGTGTCTATCTGTGCTTCCAGTAGCTAACAGTTTGCAATGCTGTGAGTATGACACACTCAGGAACACTTTATTCCCAGTCTGTAATGAGAGAGAGAAGCACGCTCAGTTGGAATCAGTGTGCTTGCTACACCTATTGCAGCATACTGTGGCTCTCTGGATGGATGTATTAAACAGTCTTGTCTTCAGTAAGGTGTAAAACCTGCAATTTCCATTCAATGCAGTGCCACCATCTTTAAAGTACTTTATGTCTTTATTTTGGATTCCAGTAACAACAGTGTTGTAACTGGGCCAATCGCAATTCACAATGAATGATACATGTCAATATGCAGTGTTATCTGCAACGTATGACCTCCAATGGGATATTTTTTAATCAGTATAACCAAGTCACAGGTTTGTCTCAACGATGTGGTGCCAGTGGGTCTACTTGGAGGGTAACAGCAGATGTTATAATGGGTCTTAAAGGTGCACATTACCGCTGGGCGATTAGTGAATTTTGCTAATCGATTAATCACACATGAACTAATCACGATTAATTGATTAATTCAGATAATCACCCAGCGGTAGTGCACATTAATTTTGTTCAATGAAGTCAGTTGTATTACTGCTTGCTCACATGTACGTTTTCAAAAAGTTTTCAATGCTACTTGAGAAATGCCAATTTTGTTCAACCACAATACAAAAAAGACAAAACAATGAGTAATGGTCTTTAGTCTCTTGTTAGTCACATGAGTTGAACAACTCATGTGATCTTACCAAAGTAGACACCTGCTCTCCTTGCTCGATATCCCATAAGCACATGGTGTGATCCCACGATGCAGTGCAAACACTCCCTTCATCCACCCACACCACTGATGAGATGCCCTGGGTGTGTCCATCAAACGTTCTCAGCGGAGTCTGCAAAGAAATACTGCCAAACTCTTAATCCACCTGTGACTCACAACCACAGGTGTCCTCTAAAGGGAACAGGCCACGTGAATACTCATATGTCAGCTGCTCTGTTAAAATGGGTCACAACGCCATTTTGCAGGTACAGTAAACTCCGGCTAAGTCGGCACTCTTGGGACTCAAGAAATTGTGACGACTTTAATACGCAAATGCCGACTTGTGCTGTAAGTCATCATTTTGCCAACTTAAACGTACACATGTATTGTCTATGTACATTACGATTCCTTGCACTAATTCAATGGCTTTGATTTACCTTGGTTTATTTCTACCTCCATGGTCGATCCAAGCAAATTCGTTCTCAATTATTATCCTCATGGGCTGCAAATTTGATAATTGATCAATTGCCCCTAAGGATGAAGCTATACAGCAAGCTGCTTGCATATTACATCACGACTTGACAGTGCAGTACGTACATGGGCGTAATACAGTTATACGGTACAGAAAACATACACTCATCCGCACACGCAGTGGCTAAGTTCGTTCAATTAGTATGGGCAGTATGGGGCTTGTCACTTGACACTTCTTGGCAACCACAGCGAAGGAAACTGATACCGAAGCACGATTCTTTTTCAATGCCCACTTACACAAAGGAATTTTTGCGGTTTTGTGGAAAAGGGACCGAGAAAAACATGCTGCGTGTATCCCATCCCATGTAGGCAACGTACCCAATATGGACACTAGAACATGTCGTCAAAGTGAATTGGATCACACCATTACGATGTAGGGGTGTATCCTTAGAAGTGACCAGCAATTGACCCCTGTTATAATACCTTGACAATTAAAATGAATGAAATTCGATATTTCGATAATATCGATATAAAAAACCTGATATATCGTTATGGGTCAAAATACGATATCGACGGTGCCTGTTTGGAACTTCCCCCAGAGAAGTTTTTTCAATTTTTCGTTTTTGTGTAGGAGGTCTTTCTTACCCTTGTCCGAGGTTTGTGTGTTTCTGTCTTGGCTTTCTTGTGATGAGCATCAATTTCTTCATCTTCGTCACCTGGAACTGTGGATATGAAACAAAGGAGCATGGACAGACAAGGTGCAACAAGTTTGCTACCAACTGTTTAACACGGCCAGATCCATCCCCATCTACTAGGACGCAGGGAGGAGGTGGACTGCTACACTGACGACAGTGAAGCCTAGCCGCTAGTTCATAACTCAGCCAACTGGCCCTGGCATTGCAGCTTGTATTTCACTGCTCCAAATGACATTTCAGAATTGTCAGGTAGTAAACGTTGGACTTGACCACAACACTGCCAAGAAAGTTACCCGTGGAATACACTTACCTGCTGACCAGACCTTTAACATCGAGTCCATGGACCCACTGGCCATCTGCGAGAACAAATCCGAAATGCAGGGAAAGATAAAAACAAATTAAGCAAAGGGCCACACATTAATTAAGCTCATAAGAGTAAGTACACTGGTCATGTAATGGTCACTCTCTACACTTCCATCGTTAACTTTTACATAATTGGTCTATAGCCCTACTCTCTACACTGCTAGCCTTGCTTTGAGTGTAGCGGGTCTATCATTCCAACATTACCTTTCTGACTGATCTTTAGACCTGCCCTCTCCACTGCCAACATTGCTTCATGTGTGATCAATCTACAGTCAAACTCCCTACACTTGTTGAATTACCTTTGTGTGTGACTGGTCTACAGCAACACTCTCTACACTGCCAGCATGACCTCGGCATGAATGCAGACATTCATGTTTCTGGGTTTTCTCATTCCATTTCCAGATTAATAACGTCTGGTCCATGGATCCACTCACTAGAAGGCTCTCTGAATCATCTGCAAAATATAAACTTGACAGTGGATTGTGATCTACAATACAAGTCTTATTTTAATATCAACACATTTTACTTCACTTTTTTTTACTCTTATGTCTGCGTGAGGAATGCTATTGTGGCAATGCTGTGGTAGCCGTCGTAACAAGTCTTTCTTGTGGGCCAGTTAAGAGGCATGAAGTAGAATTCTATCTTGGCTGTAAAGTGATGGACGGAGTTGTTAGAAAGATCACACAGTAAGACTACCGATATTTTAGGGATGACACTGTGAGATTGCAGAGGTGCAGTTTCTTCATGGCGTCATCCATTAATGTAGTGAGAATTAACTCTTCCCTTAGGGAGCATCTGAAAATTCGGAATGGTTGGAACGTTCCCATTGGAACGCTGTGTTCTCATCCAGGAACGGTCGGCCGTTCCATTAGGAACACGATGTTCCAGATGGAACACCGTGTTCCTTTGTGAGAGCGGTCCGACGGGAACACGCATTCCCATCGGAATGTCCCCATTCGGGTAGCTTCATATTGACCTTGTACAAATCTTAGCCAATGTCCAAAAAGTGGAGCCTGCCATAACAAACGAGCGTAGGTAAACCACTTTGCTTTTATGATAGGCCTAATTTTGAATAATAATCATAAGTAAACCTAAGATGGAAATGTGATGTGGCTAAATTAGTTAATGTGATGATGGAAATTTTGTTTTTAACTGAGATACAGAAGTGAAAATCACTACGTGCTTACTTCATGTAGAGTACATGTTTGTGTCGGTGTGAGTATCACTGGGCTATAAGCTGTAATACCAACGTTGAGCTTAATTGCCTCGGTCATAACGTTGAACCTTTCCCATGATATTTGAAGACCTCACCCCGCACCCCTTCAATTACAGGTTAGGTTTTTCAATTATTTCTGATATGATGGAATACTTATGCGTGGAAACATTGCGATGATAAATCCCTCTATCACGCAAACCCGACAACAAATAAAACACTCGCAAGTACAGACGTTAACATGAACACAAGAAAATTAATGGTGTCCAGATATACTCTAAAGTCATTGGTAAGCTATGCCATGGTGAACATGGAAAAAAAAAACAGGAGAAAATTTCACCTTCATGAGGAGTAAATCACAAAATGCTACGCTCCAGCTGCCTTCCTTCAAATACAGGGTCTAGGCAATGAATGCTAAAAATCTTTCTTCCCTACTGCAGGACTGTTCCACTGGGAACACTGCTTGGAACGTGTCTGCGATGCGGGCACGTTCCGATGGAACACCAGCATTCCAGTGGGAACGGTCCAACTGAATGGGAACGTTTCCGATTTTTGAGACGCTCCTTAAAAAACAATGTTCGTAGCTTAGAAGTTTGTTCTATTTGACATGTCTGAATTTCTATATGCCTAAGTTTAATAAGTTTAATCAATAAATGTACTGAAACTAACCTGAACTGAAAGTTGCCATCAGCCAACCTTATGACTAGAAAATACCTGTTTAAGCACTCAATAGAACACTGGACAAGATCACATCTTGTACGAGGTGACAAACAAGTCAGGTGACATGAAACACCAGGACTAGCCACACGAGTCAACCCTGCCAACATCATGGCAAATCATCACGGCCCCCATTTTAATATGCTGTGTTCCATCTATAAAACTACATTGCGATAATGTAAATTTCTGACCTGTTTGTATCCAAGCCACTGTTTTGACTGGGTCTGAGTGATATTGCATAACAGCAAGGTTCTCTCCTTCTTGTGTCCATATCCTGACAGCGTTGTCATAGGACCCGGTCACTAACCTGTCAAAAACAAAGAAAACAAAGGGAGAACTAAGAAAACAACATCAAGCAGATCAAGTCTTTACCATGGACACTCTCTGTCAAAACTCTGCAGGCAATGTGGCAGAGTAATGAAAACTGAATAAAAATATTGATTTTGAGTCTCCACTTGCCCAATGATTAAAGCTGGGAATTCTCTGTGCTTTCCAAGGGCCAATGTGAACAAAAATGACAAAAATCATTAAAAAGCTCATGTTGGTGGACCGTTCACTTCCTAGAGTATTTGTCTTACCTGACAAGCATTGGTTCTGAAATCAGTGACTGTTGTGTTGCAAGTTAACTGAATGAAAACAGTCCAGCTTATTAGGGGCTGGTCACTGAGAAGAAGGACACCATACTAGTAATCTAGAGGTTGTGGATTCATTGCCCACCTGGGCTAACTTGAAATGGCTTCATAAACTCAGAAGGATTGTCTACTTGTGTACCACTGTTGCAAGCCTACTAACATGGTCTGACAATGGAACCTTTGGAGACTGGCAGTGATGCTAAGTTAGCATATTGGCAGATGGGTGCTTGTGGTGAGTCGAGTGTGCACATGTATGACACACTCATAAATGAACAAGACTGTAATCACAACAAAACCCAACATCAACCCTAACCCTCTGAATGATTGATTTTTACTGGGCTATACTGGGTTACTGGGAATGACATCCCGGAGCAAAGTGGGTGATTTCAAGTATAATCTGGGCCCAAATTTTTTGTATAGAGGAGCATTATTTATTATGCCCTCAACACCATGAGGCTCAGCCCAAGACGTTGACACAATGCAACTACCAAAGTAACCACACATGTTTACCAGAGAGCTTAAATCCTTCAAAATTCTCTGCTTTAACCATTTAGCGCCGGTTGACCCCATATGGCTTCTGATCCACACAGCCGGACGGCCTCATGTGGGGACCGGACTGACTGCTATGAGTCACCATAGGCTGTAATCCTACTAATGTGAAATACAATGGCATGAAATACCGCAGCGCTCTAGGCCAGCCTGGCTGACGAACGCGTCACCCAGCCCGCCCATTTTTTGTCCTTCTTGGCAGGGCTGAGGGTGAACAAAGAAGCCATTATGTAACACCATAATAAACATAACAATCACGTTTTTTGAAAGCGTCCAGCCACCCTTCACTGCCTTCTGACTCTCATTACATGACATGCATTTCTTGGGTGATTTTTTTCCTATAAAAGTATGGTGAATACGAATGTCAAAAATCAAAATCAGAAAACACTGCCCGGCAGCCTGTAATTCAAGGGAATTTTTACCCGGCGTTAAGTGGTTAAAATGGGAAGATTGTGGAGAATTTGGGAAAATATAAGACTACAAAACAAAGTGACTGTTCCTGAAGACAACGACAATGTGCAAGAATTGCTCGAACCACAAAACATTTTCAGAGAAATCAAAGGACAGACTGACCTGTGATTGGCTGCTTGTACGGAGCTGACCCAATCATCGTGTAGAATGCTACCAGCTGGCTGAGGGGCTGGGTGCTTCTCCAAGTACTCAATCTCAACCACGCTCTCAGTGGAGATGGATTTCTCCTCCAAGTGCTTGCCCAAGGCCACACGCAGGAACTCCCCATTGATGAGGAAGTCAAAGTCAACAGCCACGGCATCCTCAGATTCTTCTGATGAGGATCAACATTTAGGAACAAAACTTGGTCACCGATTCTCAATCTCAATTCAATTCAATTCAATTCAATTCAATTCAATTCCATTCATTTCCTCCTCATCGCAAAATACAGATACTTACAACATGAGATAAATAGGCCACCACAGGTGGCAAACCTTGAAATCAAAGCTTGTGTAAGGCATGCCAAGCTTGTGTTCTCAATCTCAAATGGTGAATTTTGAGCAAATCATGAGAAGAATTTTTAAGGAACCTTTCTGAACCTGTGTAAGAAACCAATGGCACATTCTCTGTGTTCTTCAAGGGACACTGTACTAGGCCGTAACATGGAAGTAGCTTGGCTCCACATGACCCCCTTCCCCAAATCCTGCAGAGTACCCCCAAAACTCCAGGTACATAAACTTGTAATACAGGTACATGTCGCTAGGAAGATTGGGTTGAAGTGATCAACTGAAACTGAGATAATGTAGTCTTGTAGGCCCCTACCTCGACTGAGTAGTTTATTGATGAGGGCACTCAACTCTGTTACTTCCACGGAGGCAGGTACTGAGAATGGTGAGTCACCAACAGCGTAACTGCAACAAAACAAAACAAAAACATGTCACAGTACGTGGCACAAAAAATAATACATGTAGTAGCGTACAGCTACAGAAAGGAACTTGCTTTTTGGGAATTAAAATTTTTACTCTAACAAGTTGTCGTCTGATTCCTAAATAGTTTTACTTTAGCGGTATCACTGCATACAAGTTGATCGGACCAAAATTTGAGTACTGCTCAGCCATTTGGGATTCCCATCACAAACTTATGTTGACAAAGCCAAGCTGGGTACAGTTCAAACCAGAGTGACCGGATTCCCTGTAAGTGATTAGACTACAATCCTTGCTGACCTGAAGTGGGAAATACTGACATACTCTGGAACTAAATCTTGACTGACGACTATCTACAAGAAAACCATGGGCTAATTCTAAGCAGCATCGGAAGTTACCTTTAACCGCCAAATTTAGCAAGACAGTCAGCCCAAACGAGATCAAGAGAGGGCACAGTTTTCCTAGTGACCGTGGCTCCTCTAGTATGTCTGGTGGGACCTACACCTCGCCGGTTCACAAACAATTATGAATGCATGTGTTGTGGTCACATTGTCAACACCCACCAACATGGCTCATTTCAACTGATGAGGGGGTATTTCTTCTCTAAGTAGATACACATTGAGCCAGATGAAGTGGATCTTCCAGAATATTATCACCACCAATACGACCAACAGAGAGAGACTGTTATCACTACATGTATATCAGTAGTCTGAGTAACTTGGACTCTATGCATCCCTTTTTTAATCATTTGGACATGGTCGGGCGATAGTAGAGTCCAAGTACCTTCCATAGGCTTTTCATCATGTTCATCCCATTAATTCATTTCACTCAAAACAGCTCGTACCCAGAGTCAAAATCGTCAGAATTCATCCCCCAAACAGTCCTCAAACTGTCTTTTGTGCCCACTTTGGGATTCAGTGGGAATCAAAGATTACAATGAAGGTGGTAAGGTTAAATGGGATAAAAAGAGAAATTTTCTGTTGAAATCAGAAATGCTTCTCTTCGCATTTATAAAAAAATCGTTTTTTGGGAGTTCAGTTCTACCACGAGAATGCTCAGAGTGAAAAAATGCGGCGACGAGCGCAGCAAACAAATCTATGATTTCATAATGTGGCTCTCCTTCCCCCAGAGTTTCTTGACCTTGGGGCTGTAATAGAGGTTTTATAGCACAAGAGCAGAGAGAAACAGGTACAGTACACTACTCAAAAAAAGTCAAGGACCACTTTTTATTTTGTGTATACTTTTTTATACACGTTTGAGATAATTTACGGCTGAAAATGTGCTTTGATGTTTTGAAACATTTTAAACATTTTTTGTTCCAATGAGAAAACCATCTAGACAAACATAATATGAAAGAACTAGACCCCACTCATTGCTTGGAAGAAAATTACAAGTTAAGAAAAAAGCAGTCCTTAACTTTTTTTGAGTAGTGTGAGTTAGATGTCATTCTCAGCAAATGACCGAGGCCATCTGCTGAAATTCATCAGGACCTTACTTCGGTTCAAATTGGGACAGGTTCAGTGTTGATCAACACTGTCAATGTAAAAGTAATTCCCAGTCGCTCACTTACTGTACCTCTTTCAATTCACAATTGAGTGTGAGCAAGCACAGCACTCACAGCACTCACACACCGAAATAATGTAATAATTATTAAATTGCAGAGACGTAGTGTGACACCATCGAACCAGGCATCTACTGGATGCTCCCAATGACTTTTGTTTCAAGTTTGCCTGATATTAAGGAAGACTTCAACTCATGTTTGTGATGTCAGTAGTAATCTTTAATAAATTTTTACATAATAATTGCATTCGGGCATGGTCACTGACAGTAGAGCCCAACAACCTTCCATAGGCCTTGTGTACCATTAAGTGGTTTCACTCTAAATAGCTCCGAAGCCTTCCACAGATCCAAATTCCCAGATTTCATCCTCAAAACAGTCTTGAAACAGTCAAACGCATCAACAGATACTGTAGGATTCAGTGGGAGTTTAACATTCCAGTGATGGTGGTAAGGTTTACTTACATATTCATGATATTATTAGATTAGCAGAAAAATTTCCAGCTGAAATTAGACAGGCCATTTCAAACTGTTAAAAGTGGCAATTTGTAGAGTCCTAGTCATGTACAGTTTTGATGTGATCACTGCTACCAGGCATGCGGCACTCAGGAATCAGTCGTTGTTGGTGCGCATGGCTCAGAAATCAGTCGTTGTTGGTGTGCATGTGCTGACACGGCATGCTTTTGTGAATGGTCCGCTGGGCCAGCGCACTGTGCCATCGTCTCCAGGACATTAACATACCGACACACAGTTTAAATCGCTATTTGAATATGATTTGAACAAGATGGCAACATCGAACTTGTCGACAAGGCTGTTCTGATTTGAAGGGGAAATTTCTCTTTTTTTCCCTAATGTGAGTAACCTTACTAATACCATCATTGTTGGAATCTCTGATTCTCACTCGGTCCGTAGCCAGGTGCATTATACAGTTTAAGGATCGTTTTGGAGGTGAATTTGGAGGATTTTTCGGGGTAGGAGCTATTTTGAAATGAATTAATGAAACTTGAAACACTGTGAAGCAAAAGCCTATGGAAGGTACTTGGACCCTACTATCGCCCGATAAGGTGATTTGTAGGGTCCAAGTTTATACTCAGACTAGTACTAGCCACATGTCAACATGACCATGACGACAGTCATCACAGTCTTTTAGTTTTACTTTTAGCCCTACCACCTGACCACCTGCCTACTTTTACTAACCATTCTTGTTTCGTAACAAACTTGGCCTGAAGGTGAGAGCCGTAGCCACTGACATCCAACTTTGTGGCCATATTTCACGTATAAAGGTCAGACGAGATGCGCCTTAATTAGCATGACCTTGAAACTACGGTGTGCATTGATCCATTTGCTTGCTCTTGATCCAACCATAGAGAAAGGACACGTACATGTAGGCCTACACCATTTGTACAACTTTAGCTCTATCCATGCATACCACGTGTATGACCTCTCACCTTGACCTCATAGGGAACGCTAGTCTAGTTCCCACATCGCGCCGCGGAACATGATAGGACGACAACACGACAACACAAACGAAAACCAGTCTAATATGCTATTATTAAAAATGTGTCACACGAGGGCGCTGTTCTCCACTGAAGATGGTTAATTTGCAGGCCAGTTAATAAACTGTCATAGCCAACAGTAATAAATACACGAAATTCAAAAAATCGGGAAAAATACTCACGAGTTTCACGGGCGTTCGAGACGTACACCAAATTAAAGGTCATTTTATGATTGTTCATTTTCTTTTCAAACTTCCATTCATTAACAGATGACTTTTGAAGATATTTTTTCCCACGGAAGGTCACCCCTAAAAAAGAAGCCGTGAAGCACCTCGCCATGATTTTGAAATATCGATGCCTACACTTCTCCAAAAGTAGACTGTTTCAGACACCGATTTCTTCCAAATCTCACTCAGACACAAGCTAGTATTCTTTTTTGCTCGCCTAAACCTGCCTTTTCTACAAATCTTCAACTTCATAGGCCACAAAATGTTCATTTCGTAGAGAATTTGATTTAGCCCGCGCACTGTACTTTTCGGCCTATTTACTGGCTTGCAACCAGATGGGGTTACGTAATTTAAGTGTCGCACACAATCTACTGTGTTTGTCTGCTAGATGATAAGTAGAGGTCAATATAATGCTCAAACTCACGGTCTTGAAATTAAAAACTCAGGCTGTGGGCATCATGGGTGGTGATATTGATGAATCAAAGATAGTATAGCGCCGCGCAGCGCTACACTATCTTTGATCTGAATGACACGGACTTGTGCGCACGTGCAGAAAGTTTTATTCCACTAGTCTTGTTTCCAGTCATCGTAAATCTAACAAAATATAATTGCAGAGTCTGAAATGTAGATTTTGCTGCTAAGTTTGAGAATATTTGTAGAATTTGCTCAGAATTTCATAATTTCCTTAGAATTTCTTAAAATTAAGGGGATGTCCTCAAAATTTCCTTAGATTTTTTCATTTCCTTAAAATTTCCTTCGAAAGCAAAGATTTCCTTAAAATAAGGAAATTTCCTTGAAAATGGAAGCACTGCGTGTTCGTAGATCCATCGTTCCCTGGCTGTGCGATTTCCTCTCGGGCAGGTGACAGCAAGTACGTTATAATAATGTCCTTTCTGATTATCGGTCACTTAAAGGTGGAATTCCGTAAGGTACTAAGTTTGGCCCAGAATAATAGACAAACATATGTTATATAATCAGTGCTCTGAATTATGTAATTGCCGAGCTTTCGGTTAACCAGTTACCGCGGTAATTGTAGAGCAAAATTTACCTGTGGGGGTGAGGAGCGGAGGGAGATGGTGTTGTGGAGTATATTGTGGATCAATGGCATGAAGTACACCACGCAGTGAGCGAGAGGGTGGAATCACACGAAGGTTTGCAGCTGATGGATGGATGGGACCGCGTTTGGATACGACAGCTGATCGATGAGACAACAGACCTCTTCACTAATAGATTCATAATTATGCACGCATGCGCACAAATGGCCTTGGCGGCAAGAAGTGTGAGCGGGCCATGAAAATGTACAGGGGTACGACTTTGATGATCCTTTTCTCTCAGATTTTCTGGCTTTGTTCAATTTTTTTTCTTCAGAAAATCCCATAGAATCGTGTTTGCTATTAGTTTCTAATTATCTGAGTCGAACTTTTAGTGCTCTATAAAAAGACTTTATAATTGTCATTTTTCCTGTGCGCACGAGATCGCCGTTTTTAATAGTATGGCCCCTGCTTTGGTAAGAAGTACAAATTACATTGTAACATCAGTGACAGAAGGTGGGTAGCCACGCTAACAGAAAAATCCATATCCTTACGACGTAGTGTGTACATGTTCTCAAAGTCGGTGGAGGCGCAGAAGTTGCATTTCACGGGACAGAGAATTGTCATGAGGCAAATAAAGTGAACTGAACTGACCTGAAACTAGCTGTGCGAGTCAGTGGATTTGTTGTGGACGGATGTGGTGAGTGAGTTGCCGTTGATGGACAACTTGATGCCGAGGAAGGTGACGGTTTCATTGGAAATTTCTGAGGTGAGGTGTAAGGCTGGGTGAAGGCTATCAGCATAATCAATGAATTTCTGAACATCTTCCCTTGTAGCACCGATGATATCATCAATATACCGTTTGTACAGCAACGGTGCCGGCACTGTAAAGTTGGGCATCATCTTTTCCTCCACATAACCAACAAAAAGGCATGCATAGAATGGACCCATTCGTGTTCCCATATGGCAACGCTTTTGGTCTGTAGGTGGTGTTTCCCATTAAAGCTGAAGATGTTAAGGGTGGTAGGACCAGTTCAGCGAGCCGGAGGAGGGTACTGGTGGCGGGGTAACAGTCCAAACGACGTTCGAGAAAGTGACGAAGCACAATTAACGAAGCTGTCAGCGTGAGGGATGCAAGTGTAGGACTATCCGGTTCGTTACAAAGGCGGACGCGCCACGATTTGCAGGCTCCCATTGGACGATCGCTGAAAGTGCGCGTGAACTTCCGTTTCCATATAAACGGCGATCAATGCATGGAACTCTATGCTATGGGTGCACCCTGGTAATTA